ATCATCGTCGATTATTTTTCGTTCCACTACAAGAGAAAGAAAACCCTCCGGAAGTCCATTAATCGTTGCACTTGTATCGCTGGTTAGTTTTCTATGGGCGACAAAATGCTTTGCTTTTCATTTTAATCATTTAGATGTTTGTACCGTTTCTATTCTCAGTCAACTATCACATGAGTCTTCTCGTCAACGCCCGGCCAGAATTTCGATGCTAGGATTCAAAGACTGGATTGTATCACGTAACCATTCTGCAGATCCAAGATCATATAATATTCAAAGCCAATACGCGATATTGAAAGCATAGGGTTTTAAGATGTTTTTGGCTCTTATAAATTTTTTTTTGTTTGAGACGATTTTGTCCTGGAGTTTTTGCGTTCATTCACATAATTTACATAGACCAATCCAACTTTTGAAGACCGTATTTTAAACGTATGGAAATATATAAATAATGAGGCAATTCAAGTGAGGAGTTATTATTTTATCGCTCTACTTGCTCTCGAATGGGGTGAGGTGTGGGGTAGCATGATAAAAAGAGTTATTTACACCGGAAATGCAGAACTTTGGAGTACTCGCTCTATGCACGATTATTTACCCTGGCTAGTTTCGGTGAACTTGTGGAAACTCGGGAAAGAGTTCTCCAATGTTTTTGTAAAGTATTTTTCTCAAAAATACACGCTTGTTTGGAACATAATAAATATAGACTCATCTAAACACTTTTATGGATCACGTACTTCAACTCTTTAAAACTACTGGAGTCGAACTTCTGCCTGCCAATCAATCCAAAACCTAGATATTATAAACCCAGTTGTCCATAAAACGAAGCCCATGGACGGAATGTTTCTTGAAGCCTTTCTTGTGAAATGTACGGCAAGATTTCAATTTCGGAAAGATGATTTGCTCTTTTTAAAACCATTAATATTCTTTGTACTGAGGTAGCTGATCTAATACACTGAACTATAAGGCTCGTATATTGATGGCTTTGTTGAAAATTCCTTATTTGAAATAATCAGCCTTTTTGAAACCTAGGACTCCCAATTTATATGTGGTTGCAATGGCTAAGTTTTCTAGCTCGTTAAATGATTTTTCTCCCCTGTTTCTGCCAGACGCCATAAAGCGCGACGATAAAGTAGTCGACGAAATCTTTTGACGTCATAAGACAAGAAACGGTCTTAAAATGCAAACTTTAAAAACACTGGTTTACTGCGGTAAATAGTTATCAGTAAGAAAAACGATTTAATAAGTGGTTTTCTCCCACGCAGGATAACTTGAATAGCTTCGGAATAAAACCTGCTTTAAGAGTAAAGATGAAAAACCGTAAAGTTTTGCGAGAACATCCTAACCCGCAACAGCCAAAAAGTTTAAGGTAGGAGAAGGACTCTTTTTCTTCCTAAGAGGCGGGGCTGTCACCTTCAGAAGTCATTAATTATGGCGGCTATAGGTATTACTTGATTCGGATTTGGCTCGTCAACTTATATCAGGATTGCACTTTTTATTACAACCAGTTATCAGGATTGTTAGTGACGATAACAAAAGAATTCAGTTTCCTCAGCCTGAATGAAATAACAAGGTATCGATTTATGTAAGCTGAACCTTGATGTCACCGCTATGGCAAAATAAAGCTTAGCTCTTTTCCTCGTTTCAGTTATCCGTCCACAGTTATAATTTGAAAGAACGCAAAGACTGATGGCACAAAGTATTTTTTAGTGAAACAAACACTCGCTGCCTAAACACATCAAATTCAAACATCCTTCGTACTTTCATTGCGAACCAGCCCAACGCAAGTGCAAATGCAAACGCAAGCGTCAACGCAAGGAATAAACAAATGTTCATTTTCTTGAGTGCATTTGCGTTCGCTTCCCACACGTGTGAATCGGTAAAAGCTCAATCATTGTCGGCCATCTGGTAAAAATACTTCTACTGTGCTTGCGTATCTCTCTTTCCTTGTGTTTGCTTTGGACGTATCAACTCGCTTGCATTCCATTTGCGTTTGCGTTTGCGTTTGCGTTTGCGTTTGCGTTTGCATTTGCATTTATATCGCACGTGTGAACCAGTCTTCAGATCCTTCCATGGAATGACATACTTATAAATACAGAGCTGAATACTAATAATAATAATAATAATAACATTCATTTATACCGCGCAAATTCAACTAGGCAGTTTTCAAATGCACCTTACAATTAAATATCAAAAAGTAAAATACAATATATAAAGTATAACAATATGTAGTCAAAATTACACTAATTAATAATTATCTAGTCTATAAATTACAATACTATATCAGAAAAGGCTTTTTTAAAAAGGTGAGTCTTCAAATTACGTTTAAAAACTTTAAAATCGGAGGTGCATCTAAGATCTAACGGAAGATCATTCCACAGTTTTGGTGCGGCGGCTACAAAGGCTCGATCACCAAGAGTAGGAAGAGTTCTGAAGTTTGGATTTGAAAGCAGATATTTATTATTTGATCTGAGCCGTAGGAAGAATTAGGTTTAAATTTTACGAGAGATGATGAATAATCAGGAGATGTACAAGGGATTGCTTTGTGAGTGTTTATAATAATCTTATATTCTATTCTAAACGTTACAGGTAGCCAGTGTAATTTGTATATTATTGGTGTGATATGGCAATACGGTGGTGCTAGATACAGAAATCTTGCAGCTGTGTTTTGAACACGCTGCAGTTTAGTGAGAGCGCACTAGAGTAGTCCATATAAAAGTGAGTTAAAATAGTCCAATCTGCTTGTGATGAAAGCGTGGACTAATTTCTCGGTGGCGGGAAGATAAGGATTGTATGTTCAAGTGGCAATAACAATATCTAACGAGTGAGCGCAAGAAACGAGTGAGATATCAATCATATCACGAGAACATCAAATTCATAGCTTTGAACGTGTAATTTTCATTTTATTATATAGACAATAAATATACGTGATTGAGATTGTAAACCTGGCTTTAATATTAATATCGAGTATCAATAGACAGCCCTTCTTGGAGGGCTGTCGGATCGAAGGAAAGGTGTCTCTTTTGGTGGATCGATTGTTCTTGACAGCAATCAAATTGAGCAAAGGACTAAATACGGGGGCGGACGTGTTTGTTAAGCGTCCCTTTTCTCTGCTTCTTGAGCTTGTTTTTGA